TCTGTCTGTCCTCCGTCCGTCGGGGGTGAGTGTGCTCTTGGCACGGACGTCCTTGAGGACAGACAGGAGGACCTTGAGTGTCTTGCAGCCGCTGCGCCTCATCTCGTATCCATGCTGCTTGCCCCTGAGGGAGACCCGGATGCACCAGACATCCCTACCCCACGCTCTTACGCTGAGGCGATCGCGGGTGAGTACTCCTCTCAGTGGCAGACAGCCATGGACGCAGAGATGGCATCGTGGAAGTCCACAGGCACCTACGTCGACGAGGTTCCCCCTCCTGGGGCGAACATTGTCAGTGGCATGTGGATTTTCAGGGTAAAGCGGCCGCCAGGTTCTCCGCCTGTCTTCAAGGCTCGGTACGTGGCTCGAGGCTTCAGTCAGCGAGAGGGAGTTGACTTCTTCCAGACCTTCTCCCCCACCCCGAAGATGACCACTCTTCGGGTGCTGCTGCACGTTGCCGCTCAGCGTGACTACGAGCTTCACTCTCTTGACTTCAGCACAGCCTTCTTACAGGGCAGCCTGCACGAGGAGATTTGGCTGCGCCGCCCTCCTGGCTTCACTGGGTCGTTCCCTCCTGGTACCCAGTGGAGCCTCCGGCGGCCGGTCTACGGTCTCCGCCAGGCGCCACGCGAGTGGCACGACACACTGAGGACGACACTCGCGGCTCTTGGGTTTGCTCCGTCGACTGCTGACCCGTCGCTGTTTTTGCGCACCGACACTTCTCTGCCGCCGTTCTACGTTCTCGTGTACGTCGACGACTTGGTCTTTGCCACTGCTGACACTGAGGCTCTCGCCCTGGTGAAGTCGGAGCTGCAGAAGAGACACACGTGCACAGACCTGGGTGAACTGCGCAGCTACCTTGGCTTGCAGATCACCCGGGACAGAGCACGCCGCACCATCACACTGACTCAGTCACACATGGTGCAGCAGGCCCTTCAGCGCTTCGGTTTCACCTGGTCCTCAACACAGGCCACTCCTCTGGCTACAGGTCACTCGCTCTCAGCTCCACCTTCGGACGAGTCCGTAGAGCCGAGTGGTCCTTACCCAGAGTTAGTGGGCTGCCTCATGTACCTGATGACTTGCACTCGTCCTGACCTTGCGTACCCTCTTGGCCTTCTGGCTCGCTACGTGGCTCCTGGCCGGCACCGAAAGGTGCACATGGATGCTGCCAAGAGGGTACTACGCTACTTGTGCAGTACATCGGGCATGGGGCTTGTGCTTGGAGGACGGGGTGACGTTGTCCTCACAGGTCACTCGGACGCCTCTTGGGTTGACGACCAGGCTACGCAGCGGTCGTCACAGGGTTACACCTTCAGCCTTGGTTCTGGTTCAGTTTCCTGGCTTTCTACACGTTCGTCTTTAGTTCTCGGCTCCAGCTGTGAGGCAGAGATCTACGCCACAGCCATGGCTGCACAGGAGCTGCGCTGGCTCACCTACCTGCTGACCGACTTGGGAGAGAGGCCTCGTTCTCCTCCAGTTCTGTACGTCGACAACAAGGCCGCCATTGCCTTGTGTCAGGAGCACATACTGGAGCACAGAACAAAGCACATCGCTCTCCGTTACTTTCTTGCTCGAGAGCTGCAGCAGCGTGGCCAGCCTCGTCTTACCTACGTGGCCACTCGGGCCAACACTGCTGATATATTCACCAAGGCGCTTCCGTCTGGTGATCATCAGCGTTTCTGCACTTTGTTAGGCCTTGTGCCCACGCTTCCTCACTTGCTGTAGGCTTTGTTTGTACCATGATTTATATGTACCGGTATTCCTGCATGCTTGTTCTTGTAGGTAGATATCACTGTACTGTTGTTGTTACATATATATTTCTGCATGTGAACTGGCCTTGTGGCCTTCTTGCTTGTGCTCAGACTGCGTGGTGACGTTGTGATCCACCCTGAGCTTGCTTTGCACTTCCTGACTGGTCTTGTGACCCTCTGTTCTCCCCCACTTTGCCTATGGGGGTGTGTCAAACATATGTGTATATTTGTTATAGTTTGGTTAGGCTTAGTGGGGTACTCACTGTGGGGTACAACCCCTTAGGTTTCTCCTTTGTATCTTTCCCCTCGATAGTCGACACCCAACTTTCCCGTAAGATTCTAACAGCGCGCGGGCTGCAAGGGGCGGCGAGCGGGCTGCAAAGGGCGGCGCGCGGGCTGCAAAGGGCGGTGCGGCAGGCTGCAAAGGGGCGGCGCGCGGGCTGCAAGGGGCGGCGAGCGGGCTGCAAGGGGTGGCGCGCAGGCTGCAAAGGGCGGCGCGGCGGGCTGCAAAGGGGCGATGCGTGGGCTGCAAAGGGGCGATGCGCGGGCTGCAAAGGGCGGCGCGGCGACCAGCAAGGCGGCGCGCGGGCAAGGCAGGGCGGGCAGCAGCCGGGCGGTGCGCGGGTTGCAAAGGGCGGCTCGAGGGCTGCAAATGGCGGTGCGCGAGCTTTTAAGGGCGGCGCAGCGGGCTGCTAAGGGCAGGGCGACGCGACTGCAGGCAGGGCGAAGTGATAGGCAGGGCAGGGTTAAGCGACTAGTGGGGCAGCGTTCTATGGTGGGCCCTAAAAAAATCGGTCCTAGAACACCTGCTCTGAAACCATGTCAGAAGAATGAACTAGGATGAATGAACTATGAAAGAGTTGGGTGCACACACTACCCAACTACAGCCTACACAAAGTAAACAATACAACATTTTGACATGCTACTGTCTACTGGGTATCCGAGTGTAGCATATATAAGATACTAGGCTGGTAGATATAACGGTACAAAGAATAGAGCAAGGCAGGTACCGGTACGAATTCTGGTGTAAATTGAAAAAGATATGGTGAGTATCTGAGACTACCCAGGAAACATTCACAATCACATTAGTATAATATTCTTATGTATAATATTCAGTGGACATTCACATTTGTTGAAGCATCCCTAACGATAGACCACAGGAAAACGGCACCTGCAAGACAAAGAGTTTCCATTACAGGCTTAGGTATGACCAAGAGGGAAAGAAAATGACAATGACAGCAGCAAGATATAAGCTGGCCTCAGACATTGTCAGGTGAGACTGTGTTTGGCATCACAGCATGCACAAGGCATGTCAGGATAGCGACGTTAATTCACATCACTGGCCAGCTTTGAGTGTCATATGGAAGCATGATACAACAACGATTTCATTAGCGAGACATAACGACCAATGCGTACCAGAGTAGAAGCAAGCTCCCGAGGGGATAAGGTTGCAGGTATCAATCAGCAGGTATCAATCAGCAGGTTCTGTTTCCGACTTCTGGAATTCCAACTTGGCCAGCATCACGGGACCTGGAACACAGATGAGAAAACATCGAAGGTTGTTAGTATTAGAAACGAAAGACCGATTAGAACCGTGAGGACCTGACCGATGAAATGAAAATTGTTGGTAGCCCGTTCGAGATTACTGCAAACTGATATCATTGCGCAATCCCGGAGTAGGGCTGTCTGCTTGATTATCCTCCATTCTAAATCGTTCCATGCGACAAGATCGCACATGTCGTTCTGCTGAACGGAGGGGTAAGCCTACTGTAATAAACGAAATGAAAGAAAAAGTCGCGACCGCTGATTCATGCGGCTCAGATCAAGAGATTCAACCGTTTTGTCCAATCGTCACAGTTCCCTCGAAAGGGATCGGCAGCGCGGATAAGGTCACATCATAGCCGACACACCGGACATTTTTAAAGGACGACGCGAACACTCAACGAAAAAAAACACGATGAAAAAAACACGACGAAAAAACACATTTCAAGGGAGAAAGAGGGAGAAAAAGTGGCTTGAATGCTCAGGGACAGAGGAAGGTTAAATAACATCAACGATGGGATCAGCAACCTAAAGTTTGTGCATCACCGCACAGCAAGCCACAGATAGATCACCGACGAAAATTTCAGTGGAAATTAATAACAGACACAGCTGATGTACCAGATCGACACGGAGGTAAGGGAATGTGCAAGAGAGCTCAGGGAATATAACCAGTGAACATCAAAAGAATTCAGAAGCAGAACTGGCGTTTAAACTGGTTTGAAAATCATCAACGCTCTCAGACACTGAGAAAAGGGAAAATGTATATCTTATCTCATAAGGGACCTCAGTAAAAGCCGCTGTTTCTCTTCAGAAGTAGCAAGCTACTGATGTCAGACGGTAATTCCATAGCGATCATCAACGGCCCCGGTAATCGAACAAAAAAAAACATACTGAAGGGCGTCACCAAATAGCCCTTACAAAGTAATGTCCGAAGAAAGGGGTAGAACGAGCGGTGCAGATCGATAACCAGGGAAGGGAGTATTGTGGCTACTCACATTGATGTCACTTGCTCCGGCATGGTAGAAAAGTTCCCCGTCATTTGCATTGCAAGAGCCAGTCGAGCTGGATTACATGACGTTGCGCATTTCACGCCCAGCAGCTGGAGATATCTTCGCACAAGTCTTCTCTTCAGATCCCGTTGTCAGTCGCCATAACATACGAGTGAGGGAAGATGTCGCCGATGGCAACCCATCGCTTCAAGTCCTGGAGCGGAGACCGCAACCATATGGAGCAAGGACACTGAGGGAACTTGAAGTAAGACCAACCAGAAATGAGATTATGAAGGCGACATATGGAGGGGTTGGGGAAATGAGAATGGATGGTGGTGAGTGCACTGGGGAGACGCAGAGGGGTTTTGGGTGCGGCTGGATGGGAGAGATTCCTGTAATCCTCGTTACAGGCACTTCCAGACCTGCTTCGCTGGTGTTACTGGACATCACGTTGCAAATATACAGTGTCCGAAATTGGGTGAAGTTGTGTTATTCCCAAAATCCTCCAAGTGATTGACGCTGGATAATACCCCGAACCCTTCAGTAAAGAACATACATATATGATTATGCATCTACCGGTATTCCCCATGAACATTGCGCGATCATTGGGCTAATCATTTTGTTAAAGGAATGCACATGGGCTATCCTTCTTGTGATAACAATTTCATGGTATAACATAGTATGGAGAAATTAAAGTGTACACTTACCCATCCCTCTTTCACCTACCCCTTGGCTTAGGCACCAAGGGTGAAGGGGACGCAGGAGCATTAGGCTTCACAAACTTAGGAGGGGCATACCCACCTTTCCCAGCTCCCGCCACATTTCTATTTTCCCCGCTCGAGCCATTAGGGGTTGCTGTGCTTGTAGAGGATGCGTTACTAGTGGGTACGGGCTCCCTGCCCTCCTCTAGAAGCACTGCCTTGTGACTCAATCGCAGCTGACCTCTTGCATTGATCTACGTTGGTGGATGGGGAAGAAAGGGGGAGGGAGAAAAGTAGGGAAGGCATGGTGGGTGGGCATGTGCAAGACAAAATGATAATGATGAAGTGAGCAATCGACGAAGACGAGGGAGGGGAGGAAATGGCGAAAAGGACAGAAGGGATTTGCAGAGATTTTGACCTCACCTCAAGAATTTTGACATCGAGAGTATCCCCGACTGCCACAAACTGGTACAGCAACAAATATGGACATACCTAAGAATACCACCCAATGAACACCCCACTGTAGTGAGCATGTCAATAGGGGCACAAACCCACCTCAAGAATTTTGACGTCGAGAGTATCCCCGACTGCCATAAACTGGTACAGCAACAAATATGGACATACCTAAGAATACCACCCAATGAACACCCCACTGTAGTGAGCATGTCAATAGGGGCACAAACCCACCTCAAGAATTTTGACGTCGAGAGTATCCCCGACTGCCACAAACTGGTACAGCAGGAGAAGAGTTCAGAAGAGGAGAGGAACAGGAGAGGAAATCAGGCGCCTCAAAATTCCAAGGCAAGGTGAGACGGAGGACGTTTTACAGGGAAAGCGGAAACAGGACAGGGGAGACGAAACAGGGAAATGCGAGGGAGGAAAGTAGGCCATGGCCGCGGAAAGGTGGCATAGTGTCATGTCAAAGGAAGACTGGAAGTGGATGTGAATGGACGTGAATGGATGTGAATGGATGTGAATGGATGTGAATGGATGTGAATGGATGTGAATGGATGTGAATGGATGTGAATGGATGTGAATGGATGTGAATGGATGTGAAAGGATGTGAATGGATGTGAATGGATGTGAATGGATGTGAATGGATGTGCATGGATGTGAATGGATGTGAATGGATGTGAATGGATGTGAATGGATGTGAATGGATGTGAATGGATGTGAATGGATGTGCATGGATGTGAATGGATGTGAATGGATGTGAATGGATGTGAATGGATGTGAATGGATGTGAATGGATGTGAATGGATGTGAATGGATGTGCATGGATGTGCATGGATGTGAATGGATGTGAATGGATGTGAATGGATGTGAATGGATGTGAATGGATGTGAATGGATGTGAATGGATGTGAATGGATGTGAATGGATGTGCATGGATGTGAATGGATGTGAATGGATGTGAATGGATGTGAATGGATGTGAATGGATGTGCATGGATGTGAATGGATGTGCAGGGGTGACAAGATGGGGTGGAAATCAAGAGTCGTACATCCTCCGGCTTGTTGAGTCGCACGGTGGAGAGTTCACTGACGTGAATGAGGGCCTGGGAGGATAGACGGGAGGGACGTGAGGGACGGGAGGGACGGGAGGGACGGGAGAGACGGGAGGGAGGGGGGCAGTAGAGAGACGTTAGGGCAAAGGTACTTGGGTTAGACTCGGTGAGACGCACGGTGGAGAGCTCACTGACGTGGATGAGGGCCTGGGAGGATTGATGGGAGGATGGAGGGAGGATAGGAGAACATAGGGGGGCAAAGTTGAGTATTAATATGTGTTATGGCTTGTTGAGATGCACGGTGGAGAGCTCACTGACGAGGATGAGGGCCTGGGAGGATATAGGTGGGAGGGTGGGAGGGAGAAACAAGTATTACTGAGATGCATCAATGCTTGTGAGTCGCACGGTGGAGAGCTCACTGACGTGAATGAGGGCCTGGGAGGGGGAAGACGAGAGAGGGGGGAAATGGAGAGAGGGGGGAAATGGAGAGCGGGAGAGAGAGTGTGGGAGAGAGGAGTGTGCTTATAGTTGTTTAGTCGCACGGTGGAGAGCTCACTGACGTGAATGAGGGCCTGGGAGGGGGAAGACGAGAGAGGGGGGAAATGGAGAGCGGGAGAGAGAGTGTGGGAGAGAGGCGTGTGCTTATACTTGTTTCGTCGCACGGTGGAGAGCTCACTGACGTGAATGAGAGCCTGGGAGGATATAGGTGGGAGGGTGGGAGGGAGAAACAAGTATTACTGAGATGCCTTGATGCTTGCTGAGACGCACAGTTGAGAGCTCACTGACGTGGATGAGGGCCTGGGAGGGTGGATGGGCGGGATGCGGGTAACGGGAGGGGCGGAAGGTTATGGGAGGGAAACAGGGATTACTGAGATGCCTCGGAACATGCTGAGACGCACAGTTGAGAGCTCACTGACGTGGATGAGGGCCTGGGAGGAGAGAGCAAGGTAGAGGAGAGAGGGCGAGGGAAGAGATGAGATGAACATGTTGAGACGCACGGTGAAGAGCTCACTGACATGGATGAGGGCCTGGGAGGATAGATGGGATGGATGGCAGGGACGGGGAGAGTAGAAGGAGAGTAGGGGGAGAAGAGAGAGGAAAGGGCGGTAGATAGAGGAAAGAGGCACGAGAGGGACGAACGGAGAGAGGGGAGAGGGGAGGTGAAGGGTGAGAGGGTGGAGGTAAACAAGATGGTGGTGGAGAGGGCATGTAGGGGAGGTAGAGGAAGTGAACACTTCTCCTATCCCACCCCCTCCTTTCCTTCTCTGCTCTCCCTCTCCCATCCCCTCCTTCCCCCACACCATGCAACTCCCCTCGCCCATTCCCCCTCCCCCCTCTGCTCACCTCTTTCCCTGGTTTGAGCTCCACAAAAGCCCCGTAAGGAACGACAGTCTTCACCACACAGTCACTGCAAGGGGAAGCGGGCGAGGAGAGGGCAGGAGAGCGGGTGCAGAATGAGTTGCTTAGAAAGTGATTCACACACCGGGCTGCTTTCAGAATTCTCCAAGGGAACGCGAGAGACGCAAGACGCAAGACGCAAGACGCAAGACGCAAGACGCAAGACGCAAGACGCAAGACGCAAGACGCAAGACGCAAGACACAAGATGCAAGATGCAAGATGCAAGATGCAAGATGCAAGTGAGAGATGCAAACGCGAGAGATGCAAACGCGAGAGATGCAAGCGCGAGAGATGCAAGCGTGAGAGATGCAAGCGTGAGAGATGCAAGCGGGAGACGTACTTTCAATCGCTCAGTATGCCCCCTAGTCTGTCGACTCCAAACGCAAAGCCCACAAGCACACCCACCACAGGCACCATACACCCACCGGTAGATCTGCCCCACTTCCGGCACCATGGTGAGCCCCTCTATGCGCGCCCTTGCAAGTTCCAGTGCCGCCTCCGTTGCACCCATACTCACATAACCATCACACCCACACCATACCACACGCACATCACACCACAGTCACACCCACCAGTAGATCTGCCCCACTTCCGGCACCATCGTGAGCCCCTCTATGCGCGCCCTCTCGTGACGCACCCACTAGTCACACATACCCTACTTCCACTCCTCACAGTCACACCCATACCAGTGACACCCTTGCTACAGTCACCATACACCCACCGGTAGATCAGCCCCACTTCTGGCACCATCATGAGCCCCTCTATGCGCGCCCTCACCCTTTGGGACACCCATGAACTACCCATCACATGCATAGTCACACACCCATTAGATTCACACCCATTACAGTCACACCCACCGGTAGATCTGCCCCACTTCCGGCACCATGGTGAGCCCCTCTATGCGCGCCCTCGCCAGTTCCAGTGCCGCCTCTGACCGCGCATATATGCGCAGCTGGGGGGGGGGAGGAGGGGGTTGAGGTGGGGGGAAATGAATGGGATGGGGTGTTAAAGGTGACTCTATGTGCGCCCTTGCCAGCTTGCGCCCTCGCCAGCTCCAGTGCCGCCTCCAACCGCGCATATACGCGCAGAGAGGGGAGACATTGAATGGGGGGGTGTGGAGAGTGAATGAGGGGGAGAGGGAGGAGGGGATGTTCAAGGTGCCCCTCTATGCGCGCCCTCGCCAGCTCCAGTGCCGCCTCCGACCGCGCGTATATGCGCAGCTGTGGGGTTGAGTGGGGAGATGTGGGTTGGGGGGAGGAGAGCAAGGAAGGGGTGTTGTAAGAGCCCCTCTATTCGAGCCCTCGCCAGCTCCAGTGCCGCCTCCGACCGCGCATATATGCGCAGTTCCAGTGCTGCGCATATACGCGGAGGAGAGGGAGAGGAAAGCGAGAGGAGGAGAGGAAGGAGAAGGGCGAGAGGGAGGAGAGGGAGGTGGAGGGGGGGGACAAGAGGGACGAGAGGAAGGAGTGGGTGATTATGATGACTATGAAGTCACCTTCCCAGTTCCAGTGCTGCATCTGACCGCGCATATACGCGCAGCTGTTGTGGGGGGGTAGAGACTGAAAAGGGGGGGTGGAGATGGGGGGGTGGAGATGGGGGGGTGGAGATGGGGGGGTGGAGATGGGGGAGGGGAGAGAGTGGAATTGGTAGGAAGAGAGGGGGCCCTATACGCACGCCCTAACCAGCTGGTAAAATGGTGATTCGGTCGACTTCAGACTCTTCAATTGGTGGTAACCTTGCACATATAACTATGCACTGGTGGTAAACGCATGCTGTTAACCAGAACAAACCATACCTGTCCCCCATCCTCGATGTTGATTGAGTCAACTCCCGACTCTTCGATTATACTCTTTATGGTCTTGCCACCGCTGCCAATAATGAGATTCACCTTCTCTGGGTCAACCTGTCAGGAGAGAAACGAGGGGAGGGATGGGGGAGTCAGGAGGGGAGAGAGAAGGGGGGAGAGGAGGGGAGAGAGAAGGGGGGAGAGGAGGGGAGAGAAGATGGGAGGGACGAAGGGAGAGAGGAGGGGATAGAAGAGGGGAGAGAGGAGGGGAGACAGGAGGGGAGTCAGGGGGGGAGAGAGGAGGGGAGAGACGAGGGGATAGAGGGGATAGAGGGGATAGAGGAGGGGGATAGAGGAGGGGAGAGAAGAGAAGAGAGCAGAGAATCGAACAAACGAAGAAACAAAGGAAGGAAGTGATGAGGCTGTCAAAGTTTTTTTAGGCGCCTCAAAGTTGCAAATGGATGTTTCGCATGGTGATGGTGCCGTATCAATATTTCCCCCATGCCTCCATCCCCCAACTCTGCTCACGAATGCTCACCTGCATGCATGCCCCCACCAGACTCCACCCCAGACCACCCCCGCATACCACCCTACCCCATCGCACCTCACCGCACCCCACCGCACCCCACACCACCGCACCACACCCCACCCCACCGCACCACACCCCACCCCACCGCACCGCACTGCGCACCTGGATGGATTCGCATCGGGGAGCGTATAGCGAGAGGCAGTTCGACGGGGGAGGATGAGCTTTCGCCATCTCGCCTGCATGGATGCATGGGTGCATGCATGGGTGCATGTAGTGCATGAGTGTACAAATGTTTAGGCACATCAGAAATCGTATACCGAGAGGCGGTTGGATGGGGAGGATGAGCTTTCGCCATCTCACCTGCATGGATGCATGGGTGGGTGCAAGGGTGCATGTGAGCAGGGGTGCTCGGTGCATGGGTGCATTGGCACATGGGTGCAGAGGCGAATGGAAGAATGGGAAATACACACGCATAACGAGAGCAGGCCGAATCTGTTTTTTAAGAATTCTGAAAAAACATGGGTGCATGGGCGAATGGAAGTATGGGAAATGCACACGCATAACGAGAGCAGGCCGTCACTCACGTCACCCCTCCCCCCCCCTCTTGCACTGCCCGCCACCTTGAAGTCCATGTCCCCCAGCGCATCCTCTGACCCCAGGTAGGAGAAGGGTGCTTTCAGTAAGAGGGAGACTTTTGAGGCGCCTCAAAAGTCGCCTCAAGAGGCGCCTCAAAAGCTTTCAGTAAGAGGGAGATCCCTTTCTTGCCTGTCACACTCACTCACCCAGTATGTGCAGCCTCCCCTGCTTCGCCCGCTCCAAAGCGGTCCGCATCACGTCAATCGTGATTCCTTGAACTTTAATGTCCATCTGAAACGCCGTCACCCCCCCCGCACTGCCCGCCACCTTGAAGTCCATGTCCCCCAGCGCATCCTCTGACCCCAGGATGTGTCTCTCAATGAGGGAGGAGCCTTCAGTATGATCAGAGTTCCTTCCCTTCCACTCCCACTCACCCAGTATGTGGAGCCGCCCCTGCTTGGCCCTCTCGAGCGCAACCCGCATCACATCAATGGTAATCCCTTGAACTTTGATGTCCATCTGAAACGCTGTGACTCCCTTGGCACTGCCCGCCACCTTGAAGTCCATGTCCCCCAGCGCATCCTCTGACCCCAGGATGTCCGTGAGTATGACCGGAGTGCCGTCCCCTCCTGCCTGCTCCGTGTGCAGAATGAGCCCCATTGCTACTCCAGCTACTGGGGCGCGGAGCGGCACCCCCGCGTCCAGCATCGCCAGGCAGCCGCCACACACAGACGCCATGCTGCAAGGGACAGACAGGGGAGGAAGGGGTGGAAGAATCATGGAAATCCGATCCCCAGCGCATCCTCTGACCCCAGAATGTCTGTGAGTATGACCGGAGTGCCGTCCCCTCCTGCCTGCTCCGTGTGCAGAATGAGCCCCATTGCCACCCCGGCTACTGGGGCGCGGAGGGGCACTCCTGCATCCAGCATTGCCAGGCAACCGCCACAGACAGAGGCCATACTGAAAGGGGACACACGGGGGAGGGAGGGGGATAAGAATCAGGTGTGAATGGGGAAAGGATGGAGAGGATGGGGAGAATGAGCCGCATGGCCACCCCGGCCACTGGGGCGCGGAGGGGCACTCCTGCATCCAGCATTGTGAGGGGGGATGGAGGATGTGTGAGGGGGGATGGAGGAGGTGTGCAGAATGTAGCCCATTGCCACCCCTGCCACTGGGGCGCGCAGAGGCACTCCCGCATCCAGCATTGCCAGGCAACCGCTGCAGACAGACGCCATGCCACAACGGGAACATGGGGGAGGTGGGATGGGGTGTGTAAGGGGTGATGGAGGATGGACAAGTCACCCACGTTCAGCATTGTGAGGCACCCGCTACATCCTGGCGCCATACTGGCGCCATACTGGTGCCTCTAAAACTCTAAACCCTACCCAGACCTTTTTTTCTCTGAGCACAAAACCTTACACTTGTACCCACCTGGAGAAGCTGTTGCTATCTGTGATGGTGGACTCCACTCGCACAGTGTAGGGGAAGCCCCCAGCAGCAGTGCCTCTAAACCCCAAACCCCGAAACCACCACTCGCACCTGGAGGAGCCGTTGCTCTCTGTGATGGTGGACTCCGCCCGCACGGTGTAGGGGAAGCCTGCTGCATCCGGCAACACCGGCTCCAGCAATCTCTCTAAACCTAAAACTCTTTTAAACCTGAACCCTAAACCCTCCACCAAAACCCACCTGGAGGAGCCGTTGCTCTCTGTGATGGTGGACTCCACCCGCACGGTGTAAGGGAAGCCTCCCGCAGCAGTGCCTCTAAACCCCAAACCTCGAAACCACCAGACCCACCTGGAGGAGCCGTTGCTCTCTGTGATGGTGGATTCCACCCGAACAGTGTAGGGGAAGCCTGCTGCATCTGGCAACACCGGCTCCAGCGATCGCTCGGCTAAAGCCCCGTGTCCCACCTCCCTGCGGCTCGTGAACCCCGCACGGCCGGTTTCGCCGACTGAAGAAGGTGGGAAGGTGTACTGCGCGGGGGAAGGGAGGGGGGAGCATGCGGGAGGTGGAAGGGAATGGGGAGGGAGGATGTGGGACAAGGCTCTTCTAAGACTGCATCCGGCAGCACCGGCTCCAGTGACCGCTCAGCTAAGGCCCCGTGCCCCACCTCCCTGCGACTGGTAAACCCAGCGCGACCGGTTTCGCCGACTGAAGAAGGTGGGAAAGGTGTACTGTGCATGGGGAAAAGGGGGGGGGACATGGGGGAAGCGGAGGGGGATGGGGGGAGAGGATGCGAGCCGTGAACCCTGCCCGACCCGTCTCACCCACCGAGGAGGGCAGGAAGTTGTACTATGCATGGAGGGATGGGGGAGGGATGGGGGAGGGATGGGGGAGGAGGGGAGGGGTACAAGCAAAAGGAATCAGGTGTCAGAGAGAGCTCTGCCAGAGCGCCGTACCCCAAGGATTCAAGCTCATAGTGGAGTAGCAGCAAACCTGTAGAAAACGTTCAAGCAATAAAAATTTTGGGCTGAAAAAATGCTTCCCAGAAATTCAGGTAGTTCACAAAACCTTCAACTCGTAAGAACAAGCACAGGAATCAGGTGTCAGAGAGAGCTCCGCCAGAGCGCCGTGCCCCACCTCCCTGTGGCTCATTTTTCACGGCCCGTTTTTCACCTTCCAAGGAAGGCCATACCACTACAGGAACAGACCATCACAAGCACACACGATCACAGCCGCACATCTCACCTGCAGGTAGAACCACTTGAGCTCTGACGTGGCAGTGAGATGGTCCAATCGCTGCGCGCAGTTACATTGTTACAGTAACCACACACACATCAATACAGGCACAAACCTTCAGAGGCACCCATCATCACAAGCACACACCATCACAGCCGCACACCTCCCCTGCAGGTAGAAGCGCTTGAGCTGGCCCAACCACTTCTCCTCCCCTCCCCCCCCACGTCCCGTCCTCACACAGCATCTCAGCCACACATCTCACCTGCAGGTAGAACCGCTTGAGCTCTGACGTGGCAGTGAGATGGTCCAATCGCTGTGCGCTGTCCTCCCCTCCCAGTGTCGTCACTGCCAGGGCCTGGGGGGACAAGGGGGAGGGGGAAAGCGGAAGGGGGAAGGGGGAAGGGGGAGAAAGGCAGGGAAATGGGAAGGTGGAGAAGCAAGGGAAATGGGGAAGGGGGAGGGAGAAGAGGGATTTTTTAGTGAACTCCATTGGTCCAGTCGCTGCAACTGCCAAGGCCTGGGATGGGGCAAGGGGCAACGGGCAATAAGGAAGGGGCAAACGGGAAGGGGGAATGGGGGCGGGGAAGGGGGAAAGGGGAAGGGGTAGTGTGAAAAGGGGAAGGAGGAAGGGGAAAGGGGTAGGGTGAAAGGGGGAAGGGGTAGGGTGAAAGGGGGAATGGGGAAGGGGGAAAGGGTAGAGTGAAAGGGGGAAGGGGGAAGGGGGAAGGGGGAAAGGGTAGAGTGAAAGGGGGAAGGGGGAAGGGGGAAGGGGGAAGGGGGAAAGGGTAGAGTGAAAGGGGGAAGGGGGAAGGGGGAAAGGGTAGAGTGAAAGGGGGAAGGGGGAAGGGGGAAGGGGGAAGGGGGAAAGGGTAGAGTGAAAGGGGGAAGGGGGAAGGGGGAAGGGGGAAGGGGGAAAGGGTAGAGTGAAAGGGGGAAGGGGGAAGGGGGAAGGGGGAAGGGGGAAAGGGTAGAGTGAAAGGGGAAGGGGGAAGGGGGAAGGGGGAAGGGGGAAAGGGGAAGGGGGAAAGGGTAGAGTGAAAGGGGGAAGGGGGAAGGGGGAAAGGGTAGAGTGAAAGGGGGAAGGGGGAAGGGGGAAGGGGGAAGGGGGAAAGGGTAGAGTGAAAGGGGGAAGGGGGAAGGGGGAAGGGGGAAGGGGGAAAGGGTAGAGTGAAAGGGGGAAGGGGGAAGGGGGAAGGGGGAAGGGGGAAAGGGTAGAGTGAAAGGGGGAAGGGGGAAGGGGGAAGGGGAAAGGGGAAGGGGAAAGGGTAGAGTGAAAGGGGGAAGGGGAAGGGGGAAAGGGTAGAGTGAAAGGGGGAAGGGGGAAGGGGGAAGGGGGAAGGGGGAAAGGGTAGAGTGAAAGGGGGAAGGGGGAAGGGGGAAGGGGGAAGGGGGAAAGGGTAGAGTGAAAGGGGGAAGGGGGAAGGGGGAAGGGGGAAGGGGGAAAGGGTAGAGTGAAAGGGGGAAGGGGGAAGGGGGAAGGGGGAAGGGGGAAAGGGTAGAGTGAAAGGGGGAAGGGGGAAGGGGGAAAGGGTAGAGTGAAAGGGGGAAGGGGGAAGGGGGAAGGGGGAAGGGGAAAGGGTAGAGTGAAAGGGGGAAGGGGGAAGGGGGAAGGGGGAAGGGGGAAAGGGTAGAGTGAAAGGGGGAAGGGGGAAGGGGGAAGGGGGAAGGGGAAAGGGTTAGAGTGAAAGGGGGAAGGGGGAAGGGGGAAGGGGGAAGGGGGAAAGGGTAGAGTGGAAAGGGGTAAGGGGAAGGGGGAAGGGGGAAGGGGGAAAGGGTAGAGTGAAAGGGGGAAGGGGGAAGGGGGAAGGGGGAAGGGGGAAAGGGTAGAGTGAAAGGGGGAAGGGGGAAGGGGGAAGGGGGAAGGGGGAAAGGGTAGAGTGAAAGGGGGAAGGGGGAAGGGGGAAGGGGGAAAGGGTAGAGTGAAAGGGGGAAGGGGGAAGGGGGAAGGGGAAGGGGGAAAGGGTAGAGTGAAAGGGGGAAGGGGGAAGGGGGAAGGGGAAGGGGGAAAGGGTAGAGTGAAAGGGGGAAGGGGGAAGGGGGAAGGGGGAAAGGGTTAGAGTGAAAGGGGGAAGGGGGAAGGGGGAAGGGGAAGGGGGAAAGGGTAGAGTGAAAGGGGGAAGGGGGAAGGGGGAAGGGGGAAGGGGGAAAGGGTAGAGTGAAAGGGGGAAGGGGGAAGGGGGAAGGGGGAAGGGGGAAAGGGTAGAGTGAAAGGGGGAAGGGGGAAGGGGGAAGGAAGTCATGCACTTGTGCCTGCACTCCCACCCATTTACCCAACTCCTTTAGGAGAATCTCGCAAACCACCTGTTCCCACCCTTCCAACCATCCCCACCTCCACCCACCCACCCACCCACCCAGGCAGCCACACACCCACAGGTTCACCCACCTGTGTTTCCCCTCGGGTGAACAGTGCGCTGCCATGCACACGTGGCAGAACGCCACAGGCGGACTCGATGGGGCGCACGTCACTGGTTCCCCGCCCATCGCTGCGACGACCCTCCTGTTGCAGCAGAGGAAGGAGGGGAGAAACACGGGTGGGCATGGGGCATGAGGGATGGGGACGGGCCATGGGCAAAGGTGATATGTGAGTTGACTCAAAGAACGCCACAGGCAGACTCAATGGGGCTCACGTCACTGAAACCCCGCCCATCGCTGCGACGTCCCTCCTGTGGCACGAGGGGGGAGAGGGGGAGGAACATGGGCACGGGGCATGGGAAATGGGCATGGGGCACGGGGCGAGGGGGATGGGGACTGGTCATGGGGCCTCAAAAGCGACTCAAAGGAACGCCACAGGCGGACTCGATGGGGTGCACGTCACTGGGGCTCCACCCATCGCTGCGACGACCCTCCTGTGGCAGGGCGGGGGTGGTGGTGTGGAGGAGCATGGGCATAGGGGCACGGGGCAAAGGGTATAAAGGATGGGGGCGGGTGTGGCGTGGTGACCTTGGAGTCGACTCAGAAGAACGCCACAGGCTGACTCCATGGGGTGAACGTCACCGGCTCATATCCCTCCCTGTCCCCGTCCATATTGACGTTTTAAGGCCGCAGCGAGGAAGCAAGCACTCACGATTTCATCATGCCCTCAGCACTCACGGTGACGATGATGCGTCGCATGATCCGAGACGTCAGCTCCTTGAGCTGCTTCTTCACATCCACATTCCACAGTGTCATATGCCACCCTGTCTCATTCTTGTTGTTTTGAGGACTCTCAGGGCAAGCAAGCACTCACAGTGACAATGATGCGTGACGTCAGCTCCTTGAGCTGCTTCTTCACATCCACCGGATCATATGCCACCCTATTTCCCTCCATCTTGTTGTTTCGAGGCTTCTCAGAGCCACCAATTACTCACGCTTTTGCCACATTTCAGCACTCACGGTGACAATGATACGCCTCATGATACGTGACGTCAGCTCCTTGAGCTGCTTCTTCACATCCAGTGGGTCATAAGCCACCTCCACCACAACCGCCCTCCCCTTCCCCTTCCTTACGCCCTTTCCCACCCCCGTCCCTGTGCCTTTCACATGCACCTCCCCCTCGTCCACATCCCCTGGCGGCACCACCAGCCCTTCCTCTTCTGCCAGCTCTGCTTCCTCATCCTCCTCCTTCGCCGCCTGCCAGCCAGGGCAATGATTGGGATGGGTGGGGTTGAGTGGGAATGGGTGCCATTGGGAGGAGAATCAAGCTGCCTTGCACGTGCACCTCCCCCTCGTCCATGTCCCCTGGTGGCACCACCAGCCCCTCCTCCTCTGCCAACTCTGCCTCCTTGTCCTCCTCCCCTTCGCCGCCTGAAAGACAATGGAGCAAGGGTGGGTGAACAAGGGTGGGGATCGGTGAGGATGGGTGGGGATGGGTGGGCATGGGTGCGAGTGCGAGTCACGTCCCCTGGCGGCACCACCAGCCCTTCCTCCTCTGCCAGCTCCACCTCCTCGTCCTCCTCCTTCACTACCTTCACCTCTCCTCAACCGCCTTGACTGTCACCAACCACTGTTTCATAGCGTTTAGAGATGTCCCTGAACTCTACTTTTTCGCGCAGCTCTCACCTGTCTGGTTGCTGCCTGCCCCGCCTCTGTGAGAGCTCCCAGAACGTGATCCTCTGCCGTCTCCATTGCCACCCCCCGCTGCTTCTTCCCCTCGATCCTCAGCGCCGCCTCCACCTCCGCCCCTGCCAGGGCTTCCACTCACACGCCTCGTTACAGTTCTCACCTGCCTGGTGGCGGCCTGCCCCGCTTCTCACCTGCCTGGTGGCGGCCTGCCCCGCTTCTCACCTGCCTGGTGGCGGCCTGCCCCGCTTCTCACCTGCCTGGTGGCGGCCTGCCCCGTTTCTCACCTGCCTGGTGGCGGCCTGCCCCGCTTCTCACCTGCCTGGTGGCGGCCTGCCCCGCTTCTCACCTGCCTGGTTGCGGCCTGCCCAGCCTCTGTGAGCGCCCCCAGCACCTTCTCCTCTACCGCCTTGATCGCCACCCCCCGCTGCTTCTTCCCCTCGATCCTCAGCAGGTGGGTCAAAACTCACCTCCTTCAGCCCATGTGTGCTCCTCTTCTCACCTGCCTGGTTGCGGCCTGCCCCGCCTCTGTGAGCGCCCCCAGCACCTTCTCCTCAACCGCCTTCATTGCCACCCCCCGCTGCTTCTTCCCCTCGATCCTCAGCAGATGGGTCAAAACTCACCTCCTTCAGCCCATGTGTGCTCCTCTTCTCACCTGCCTGGTTGCGGCCTGCCCCGCCTCTGTGAGAGCCCCCAGCACCTTCTCCTCAACCGCCTTCATTGCCACCCCCCGCTGCTTCTTCCCCTCGATCCTCAGCAGATGGGTCAAAACTCACCTCCTTCAGCCCATGTGTGCTCCTCTTCTCACCTGCCTGGTTGCAGCCTGCCCCGCCTCAGTGAGCGCCCCCAGCACCTTCTCCTCTACCGCCTTGATCGCCACTCCCCGCTGCTTCTTCCCCTCAATCCTCAGCGCAGCCTCCAAATCCGCCCCCACCAGTCCCTCCAGCCGACCCAGCAGGTCCGCCGGTGGGGCGTGGATGGCAGCTGTGAGCTTGGGCTTTGCCACTCCCTCGGTCTCCTGCGTCCACTTGTGTAGGCTGTGGCAGATGGCACTAATGGCTTGCTGCAGGTACGGGGGTGTATGGGTGTATGGGTGGGTGGGTGGGTGGGTTTGAAATGGGGAACGGGAGAGGCGTGGATGGCGGCAGTGAGCTTGGGCTTTAAGACTCCCTCGGTCTCATGAGTCCACCTGTGCAGTACAGGCCGTGGCATGTGGCACTGATGGCTTGCTGCCTCTGTGTGGGTGTGTGTGGGAGAGCGCACGTGTGTGTGAGAAAAGAGGGAACGGGTTATTTCAAAGTTGAATTGAAGCTTTCTTGTAACGGGCAGTTAGATGGAAAAACTCTAAGATGTTGAGCAAACAACAGCAAAGTTTCATGAAAATCTCGAGCCGTGCATTGAAAACAAGAAGAATATAATTAATATGCATATTGACGCATACATAAAATCACCCACCTGCCCTGCTGCAACGGCCTCCAGCAGCTGCTCTTCTGACAGGAGATTGCAGTAGCCCTGGGAGGGGAAGAGAAAGAAGCGGGAAGAGTAGGCGAGGAACAGGGGGAAAAGGAAGGGGTGCTTGATGTCAAGAGGTGAGGCAGCACCTGCCCTGCTGCAACGGCCTCCAGCAGCCGCTCCTCTGACAGGAGATTGCAGTAGCCCTGGGGGGGGAAGAGGGGGAGGAAGAGACGGGAAGGGACCGGCAGAACGGGTGACGGGTTCAGTGGAGGACTGTGGGAAGAGCAGGCACTCGCTCCCCTTTAATTGCCTCCAGCAGCTGCCCTCATGCTTCACCCCGTGGGCTCAGAGTTCCCTGTGGGGTGGGTGGGGTGTACAAGCGAGCACAGTGACGGGTTGGGTTGACTGTGTGGGTTGCGCGGGTTGACTGTGTGGGTTGCTGTGCACATTTTTTAGTCGACTTTTGAGTCGACTCAAAAGTCACGCCGTGGGCTCAGAGTTCCCTGTGGGGTGAGTGGGGTGTACAAGCGAGCACAGTGATGGGTTGTTGTACCTCGACCATGAGCTGGTGCGGGTTGACTGTGCAGATTTCTCTGCACATTAACGATTTTTTAAGCGCCTCAAAAATTGTTTGTGGTGCGGGCGGGTTGACTGTGTGGGTTACTCTGGTTGGGTTGCTCTGTACATTAACAGTACCTCGATCATCAGCACTGAGGTGACTTTTGAGTCGACTCAAAAGTCACCTTGACTGTGTGGGTTACTCTGGATGGGTTGCACTGCGCATTAACAGTACCTCGATCATGAGCACAGACAGAGTCCGTGGTGCCAGCCACGCCAGGTCCAGCGGTCACACCCTTGCGGCTGCTGGTTGGTGATGGGGTGCGCTCTACAATGAATGAAACATTCCTGATGCAAGTTCTCTCTAGTCTGTTCTGTTCCGCACCTCGATCATGAGCACTGAGTCGGTAGTGCCAGCCACCACCAGGTCTAGAGGCGACCCTTGCAGCTGCTGGTTGGTGGGGTTGGGCTGAGAGGTTCCAAGTTCCAAGTCAACAACCTGCCCCTCAGTTCGGGGTTAGGGTTTAGCCAGTACCTCGATCATCAGCACCGAGTCGGTGGTGCCAGCCACCACCAGGTCTAGAGGCGATCCTTCCAGCTGCTGGTTGGTGGGGTTGACGACCAGAGCGCCATTCACCATGCCCACGCGCACCCCCGCCACTATGCCCGCCAGGGGGATGTCCGACACAGCCCTAGGGGAAAGGATGGGGGAGAGTGGGGGAGTAAGGGGGGACGGGCGCGTGGAGGGTGGGGAAGGGAGGCAGAGTGGATGGGCACAACACCAGAGCGCCATTCACCATGCCCAGGCGCACCCCCGCCACTATGCCCGCCAGGGGGATGTCTGACACCGCCCTGGGGGAGGGTGGTCAGGATTGGGGAAGGGTGCATGGAGGAGAAGGAGGAACTGGTTGGTGGGTGGGGAAGGGAGGGAGGGAGGAGCGCTGCTGGTTGGTGGGGTTGACGACCAGAGCGCCATTCACCATGCCCACACGCACCCCCGCCACTATCCCCGCCAAAGGGATATCCGATACTGCCCTGGGGGAAAGGGATGGGGGAGGGAGGGGGGCGGAAGGGTGGGGGAGGGAAGACAGCTGCTGGTTGGTGGGGTTGACGACCAGAGTGCCATTCATTCACCATGCCCACGCGCACCCCCGCCACTATGCCCGCCAGAGGAATGTCTGACACAGCGCTGGGAAGAGGGGTGGGGGGGGGGAGCTTGGAAGAAAAAGCAGGAATGAGCGGGAGATGCTTACAGAGCAGCAAAGGCAGCATCAGCGGTGACGGCAAGAGTTTCAGGGGTAGTGAGTGCAGGTTGATGGCCGTGAGAAGAGGGGGACAGAATGCAGAGGTTAGCACGGAGAGCAGGGGAAGAGGTCCTTGCTTACAGGGCAGCGCCAGCAGCGGTGATGGCAAGGGCGTCGGGGCTGTGCTCCCCATCGTAGCTGAACAGCTGTGAAGAATCAGGGAAGGCGGGCAGGGGAGGAAGAGAGGTCCGGGATTTAGGGGTTTGACTTTCAACTTAAAAGCAGTGCCGGTAGCGGTGATGGCAAGGGCGTTGGGGCTGTGCTCCCCATCGTAGCTGAACAGCTGAGAATCAGGGAGGAAGGGTAAGGGAGGTTGTAGGGTTTTTACTTTTGAGTCGACTCAAAAGCAGCACCAGCAGTGGTGGTGGCAAGGGCATCGGGGCTGTGCTCGCCGTCGTAGCTCAACAACCGTGAGACAGGGAGAGAGGGAGAGTAGGGAAGGGAGGTCATGGGTTTCGGGTATTGACTTGCAATCTAGAGACGAATTCTGAGTCGATTGAAAAAACAAGCAGCAGAGATGGAAAGGGCGGCGGGGCTGTGCTCTCCATCATAGCTCAACAGCTGAGAATCAGGGAGGGAGGGTGGAGAAATCTCGGGTTTCGGGTTCTAACTTGATTACTGTTTACAACTGAGGGGGAGGGGATCAGATCAGAACTTGCCTGATCGACAACAAAAGGGCTGGCCATTCGAGCACCTTAGGAGACGTCTCAAAAGCCATTCGAGCACCTTATGAGACGTCTCAAAAGCCAGTCGAGCACCTTATGAGACGTCTCAAAAGCCATACGAGCACCTTATGAGACGTCTCAAAAGCCATACGAACACCTTATGAGACGTCTCAAAAGCCATTCGAGCACCTTATGAGACGTCTCAAAAGCCATTCGAGCACCTTATGCCTTGGCTTGGAGAAACGACCATCTGCAAGAATCTGCACTTTCATCTCTTGTCTGCGGTGTAAAACTTCTACAAAAACCCAGACCCGAAATTTTAGACCCTAAACACCGTCAACTCATCCACGATTGGCCGATCGACCCAGACCTGCACTTCGTGGTTGAGTTGAAGCCCTTGGCCACCACCATGCCGCGTAGCGGGCAGTTGATGAGACGAGACACCAGGATCTGGTGAGAGATATACTTCCACACCTTCCATTTAATTCATGAAACTTCTTCACCTCGACTCCAAACCCAGAACCCCCAATGTCATTGACTCACCCACGAGAGGACCTGCACTTCGTGGTTGAATCCCTTGGCCACCATGGGACGCAGCGGGCGGTCTATGAGACGAGACACCAAGATCTGATAAGGAAACAGATGGGGAAAAAGGGGAGAAGAAACGGTTGAAAGAACCAATGTACACATGGTTTGGCCTCTCCTATCCGCGCAACCCTGTGCCCTAAACCCCAGGCAAGGCTTAGACACTGTCACACTGCTATAATCTGTTTTAATCACGTTTTCGACTTACAAGAAGCCATCAACAGCGGCGCTGCAGCGTACCTCGTGGTCTTTAGGCCGACCTTCCCTTTTGAAGTAGCCTCCGCTGCAGGCAGGAGGAAGGGTGTGGCGTGCATAAGGGGATAAAAGCAGAAGAACAAACAATGAGGGCACAAATTGCCGTGAAATGTGAAAGTTTACTTTTATTCGACTAAAGAAGGAGACCACATATGAGGGCACTAATCTCGTCCATGCAATGAGGACGAAAGGTGATGGGATGAAGCCCCAGGGGGCTCGCCCTGCACCTCTGACAGGGCGCACATACAGCCCAGCTTCGCAACTCTAGTGCACAGGAGGTACGGCCTACAGGGCCCTGAGCGTTGCAAATCCAGTCCTGACTCTCACCTGGTGCGCCCCCCAGCGCTGAACCTCTCCTGGTAGCTCACGGAGAGCGGCACGAAGTCCGAGGGCTCGCTCTCCTCCTCCGAAGCGCACACCGTGCAGTACAGCACCTGTGTAATGGGGGGAGGGAGGGGAGGGGGGGTGGAGGGAATGTGTGATGAGTGCATGAGGGCTCACTCTCCTCCTCCGAAGCGCACACCGTGCAGTACAGCACCTGTGTAGTGGGGGAGCACGGGAAAGAGGGGTTGGGAAGAGGGACGTGGGAAGGTCGTTAGGAGGTGGGAGGAGGAGTGGGATTGGTGGCCATAATATGTGTGATTGAGTGACCGAGAATTCATTTTCATCCTCTGACGCACACACTGTGCAGTACAGCACCTGGGTAAGGGGGGGGAGTGGGGGAAGAGGGGAGAGAGTAGGGGGAGAGGGGGGTATGTGCGCTTCAGGACATGAGGATTCACTCTCCTCCGACGCACACACCGTGCAGTACAGCATCTCGGTAATGGGGGGGAGTGGGGGAAGGGGGGGGGGAGGTTGTCAGGTGGCGGGAGGAAGAGTGAGAGTGAGACTGCTGGTTCTTGTATGTGCGCTTGAGTGCCTGAAGGCTCACCCTCTTTTCAGGCGCCTCAAAAGACGACTTTTGAGGCGCCTCAAAAGTTGTCAGGTGGCGGGAGGAAGAGTGAGAGTGAGACTGCTGGTTCTTGTATGTGCGCTTGAGTGCCTGAAGGCTCACCCTCTTTTCAGGCGCCTCAAAAGACGACTTTTGAGGCGCCTCAAAAGTTGTCAGATGGCGGGAGGAAGAGTGAGAGTGAGACTGCTGGTTCTTGTATGTGCGCTTGAGTGCATGAAGGCTCACCCTCTTTTCCTCCCCCAACGAGCCTGTTTTGCGACGTCTAGAATCTGACCGGGGAAATTACCATGCGAGCCTGTTCAATTGTGGAAAGAAATTGCATGGCAGGGCCATAGAGCTACATCGCTCGCTATATGCACGCACCGTCTCTCCGTCCGTTACAGTCACGGCGCCGTTAGCCTGCCGTCCCATCCGTCCCACCTCAACGGTTATCTGAGAGGCAGAGAGTGGGAATCGGAAGGAGGGAATGGATGTGAATGAATGCGAGAGATGTGTTTCGCGATGGTCAGGACGCATTCTCGACGGTTATCTGAGAGGCCGAGCGTGCAAACTGGAAGAAGGAGAGGGTCGAATCGAATAAGAGGGAATGAATGCGAAGGAACGCGAGAGATGTATTTCGCGTCAAAGGTGATCCCAGAAACAAAGCAGGGGAATCGGAAGAAGACAAAACAAGGAGTATGAGAGGAAAAGAATGCGAATGAAGCGAGAGACTTAAGGAAAGGCTTAAACGGTAGAGAAAGCATGAATAGGCATTGTACCGACCGTACCTCTCGATCCCCAAAGGGTATGGAAACAGATCGAGGCCGAAGGAGGGGGCCGTCGGTCGTCAGCCTGTCGGCGACATTGGCTGTTTCTGCGAACGGAGTACCATCATCATCGCTGGCGTCGCTCGTATCCTCTGCACGAGCACGACCCGGCAATCCCGAGATTCGACGTTTCGGGATTCTGCGGTTGTGCTTTGCTTCTAAGAAGCTTCCGGTTCCGGGAAAGGCGCTTCGCAATGAGATGCTGGACAGCGGAGAAACCGGTGAATGTCTAATATATGTGAATCCGTGCAGAGCGCACCGGTAAGGTAGGGATTTGGCCGTCAAGTTAGCAGCAGCGCTAGCGCAGAGTATTTGAGCCATGACGAATAGCGATCAATGCGGAAATCAGGCTGACGGTGATGCAGAATGTTATGATGAGAATCAACGGATGGAAACGACGGAGTCGTCTGACAGCCGCAGCAGCTTCCGCTGACGGATTCAAGGGAACACAGCGAATCGCAGGAGACTGACACGAAAAACGACGCGTCTCGAGCTCTATGAATCCGGCATTGGAGAGGAAAGGCTGAGGAACAGTGATATTTGCCACTAACTCAGCCAAGTGGTAAATGGAGAATAGTGATCGGGTATGCTTTTGCGTAGCCGTTCCTGTATTGATGTTCAGAAAGGTGATTAGCGGTGAAACGCGGTAGTGTGAGCAACCAGACCTAAAGCTGCTCCACAGCAGGAGCCTAGTGGGAAGATATCTAGGTTTAGGCGGGAAGGGCCTGGTCAGAAGAGTGCCACGTAGGTGGAAAAGCTCTCAGGTGTTGCTGCAAAAGGCGAACCAGAACACGTGTCCCTATACCACCTGGATAATCGTGTTTCTTTACGCGTCAGGCGATCACGCGATCTCTGTATAGTCGGGACCTGGAGAATTCCAAAGTTTTAAGCTAACTCACATCCTTATCTATTTGTTGATGGTTAGGAAGGAGTGCAAATATTCAGTCATGAACGAATTGAGGGTAGATATTCAATCAGGTTGAAACGCTCACGTATGGGGTTCCATAAATATCAATGACTTCACGTGACTGCATGTTTATTTATCAAAAGAATGGCAATGTTTCTTGAAAGTACATGTAACACCCTATCACGAGTACATGAAATCGACGATGAAGCACAGGCGCGGCGGCTCAAATTGAAGATGTATCACCGCTCCTTATCCGCGCCTCAGCATCCCCTCCACTTGGTTCGGCTATACTGTCACTGAAGGAATGCCTTCCTGAGAAAATTCCGTCGGAGAATATGGAAATGCCGGCAGATAGGATAGTCCACTACAATATCTAGGCCGAGCCTAATCCGTGTATCGCAAGAGGCACTGCGTGATAAGGGAGCGATTCGAGCAAATCCAATCAAATTCATGTCGATTACGAGGAGAGTCGCCATTTTTAGTGCGACGTGTAGGCTACCGGATATTGATATATTGATTCCGAGTGTTGAGACGTCTCAATACTTCATGTCGTCGCCGATTTGATTGATTTGCTGTCCGCTCCGGCTCCCCTAATTCGCTGGCCCTGACCTTCCTACTCGCTAGATGTCGCGGTTCGGTTGGCCTGCCGTTGGCTGGCTTTTGTGGCGCTCCATAGTAGCCGCAGTAGCGGGTCTCGTGCTTATAAAGCGGACACATGCTCAAGGAGACGCGGGTCTGGAGCACGCGATGTCCTTATATCGGGTACAGCACTGCAGTATAAGCATGATTCATGCCCGTATTTCGTCCTCCTTCCGCCGCACCCATCCCCCTGACCGTTCCCCCTCCCCCCTGACCGTTCCGCCTTCCCGCTGACCGTTCCCCCTCCCCTGACAGGCATGGGAGGCGGCATATGGGCTGCAGGCGGACTCCCCCCTTCCTCGCCTTAACCATCCCCCCGATCGTTCCCCCTCCCCCCTACGGTTCCCCCTCCCCCCTGAACGTTCCTCCTCCCCCGACAGGCATGGGAGGCGGCATATGGGCTGCAGGCGGACTCCCCCCTTCCCCCTTCCGCCATCGCCCTTCCCCCTCGTGTTCCCCCTCCCCCGCACCTGGAGGACTGCGCTGCCCTGACTGCCTGGCGCTGGGCGCAGGAGCAGGGGGAGGCGGGGGAAGAAGGGGAAGCGGGGGGGGCGGGGGAAACGGGGGAAGGGGGGAAAGCAGGAAGAGTGGGGGAAACAGGGGAAGCAGGGGGAGAAATAGGGAAAACGGGGGAAGTGGGGGAAGGAAAAGGGGGAGAATCGGGGGAAGGCGCCCAAGGAAGGGGAGAAAGGGGGAAGCTTCCCCCTTGGGCGGCACAACCCCACCCCCAGCCGCCCTGGATCCTCGGGTCTGACGCAGCCAATCTGGCGATGACACGTGTCGCTCAGCGGGACATCTGGGCACACCAGTTTCCCCCTGGGGGGGACTGTAGCAGAGAACGCCTCCTATTGGTCGATTGGCCAAGCTCGGCGCACGGGATTGGCTCACAGCTGCACATCATGAGCGCGATTATGAGCGTTGCAATGCGGTTCAGAAGGGTGATGGTTCCCACTCGATGGTCGTTCACTCGAGCCAGTCACGCCGATTGCAACGGTGAGTTGCTGGATGGGTGCTTGCAGTGAGCAGCGGAGGAGGAAGCCGTCTCAGCTGCATATCATGAGCATCATTCTGCTTCTGAGCGTTGCAATGCGGTTTAAGTTGGTTCTGGTTCCCACTTGGGGGCCGTTCACTCCAGCCAGCCACCAGGATTGCAACGGTGGGTAGTTCAATGCATCCTTCCCTTTCTACTCCTCCCCAACGCACCCCCTCCTCCCCTTCCCCCTTCCCCCTTCCCCCTTCCCCTTTCCCCCCACCTCCTCACCCGCCCTCTCCCCCACAAGTTCCAACCTCATACTCATTTGCCTCTTCCGCCTCGTTGAATTCCTTCTTGAGGCGCCTAAAAATCATTTTCTTATCCCCCGTGTGTGATGAGTTTTTGAGTTGACTCAAAAATCATTTTCTTATCCCCCCATGTTAAATTCCTTCCCCTTTTTTCTGCCCTACGCTTCCCCACATCCCCAACCCAACCCCCCGCCCAAAGAAGCATCTCAGCTCCTTTTTATTGCAGCTCCTACCTCCTCTCCGCTCTCTCCCCTAGCCACAGGCACTCTCGTCTCCTTCCACCGCTACTTCCTCCCCCTCTCCAAGTGCCTTCAACGTTTCCTGCCTTCCTCTCCCACCCCCCTACCCCATCCACTCCCCATTCCTGCCTCTGTTTTCCAGCCACAGGCACCTTTGATTCCTTCCGCTGCTACTTCTTCCCCCTCTTCTCCTCACGTTTGTGTCAGCTTGACCCATTCTCTCCCCTTCTCCCTCGCCCTCCCCCCTCTTCCACCCGTTTCCGCCCTCCGTTTCCCCCAACTTCCAGCCACGGGCACTTATGGTTCCTTCCACTGCTACTTCTTCCCCCTCGTATCTCCAACCTGTGAACACGAAGCTGAGCTGGCGGTGGCGGCAGCAGCAGCAGCCAATGAGACGCTGCCACGTATGACAGAGGAGAGCAAGGAGGCGGTTCTGGCGTCAGAGCAACGCGTGGTGCTGTTCCATGGGGAGCCTTATAACGGATTACGCTTTGAAGGGGATGTGAGGTGAAGGAAGGCAGAGGGGGGAGGATAATGGGTAGGAGAGGAGAGGGGGGTTAGTTAGATCAATTCAACCTGCTTTGATTACTATAACCCCCACACCATACTATACAATTTTATCACTTCTCCCTGGCCCCTCCCCCTCGCCCCCACTCACACCGCAGCCGTTGGCCCAATGCTTATCGAGAGCGGCCCAACACTAAGGAGGTGGTCGGATTCGTGGGGGAGGGGCGAGGGGGAAGGAAGGGTGTACCTGCTCTCACCTGTACTCACCATACACACCATTCTCTTCCCTCCTTTCCCTCCCTTCCCTCCCTTCCCTCCCTGCGCACATCTGCAGCCGTTGGCCCAATGCGTATCGTGAGCGGCCCAACACCATGGAGGTGGTTGGATTCGTGGGGGAGGGGGATGAGACAAGACAACGGGTGAGATGGAGTGTCCTGGGGTGTCCTGGGGTGTGCTGGGGTGTGCTGGGGTGTGCTGGGGTGTGCTGGGGTGTGCTGGGGTGTGCTGGGGTGTGCTGGGGTGTGCTGGGGTGTGCTGGGGTGTGCTGGGGTGTGCTGGGGTGTGCTGGGGTGTGCTGGGATGTGCTGGGGTGTACGTAGCTTCACATGTTTAACACCCCGCTTTACTTCGTACCCCCTTTACTTCTTCCCCCTCACTATTGAGACGTCTCAAAAGGCGTTTTGGGGCGTGCTGGGATATGCTTGGTTGTGCACGTATTTGTAGCTTCACATGTTTAACATATTAGAAATAGTCAGTCAACACTTTGTACTATATTCTATATCGGTTAGGTTACTTTGTAGGTTGGGTGTAGATTTGTAATCCCAACCCTATCTGGTTGGGATTCCCTCGTAATCCTGCAAATCTGCCAACTCACCAATTGGAGATTTGCTAGGATTCCCATCCCATCCTTTCCCTAGCTTTGCTCAACCCAACCCTGTTTGTACTTAAGGCCTAGTGCCTTCCTTATCAAGCAATCAGTTCAGTTCCAATTCTATCATGGTATCGAGCTAGTAAATTCCGCTCACGCGGAATCCGATCCTTGGCGTCCCCATGGTTCTCTCCTTTTAGGCTATGCCTATTTCGGTTCCCGGCTCCTACGCTTAGCGTTTTTCAGAAACTTCACATCGTCGCTCCAGTCAAGCGCGCATTCGGCTTCCTTCATCGCGCATCTCGTTTTTCAACGGCGACATTCTCAGCTTTCGACTTCCTTCATCGTAAGCTTCTGGTTTTTATATCTCCGTGGCAATTTTCGCATCTTCTTAACTTCAAACAGGTTTTCAGCGGCGCAGCGGAACAGGTCCAGCGGCGCAGCGGAACAGGTTTTCAGCGGCGCAGCGGAACATGTCCAGCGGCGCAGCGGAACAGGTTTTTAGCGGCGCAGCGGAACAGGTCCAGCGGCGCAGCGGAACAGGTTTTCAGCGGCGCAGCGGAACAGGTTCAGCGGCGCAGCGGAACAGGTTCAGCGGCGCAGCGGAACAGGTTCAGCGGCGCAGCGGAACAGGTTCAGCGGCGCAGCAGAACAGGTTCAGCGGCGCAGCAGAACAGGTCCAGCGGCGCAGCAGAATAGGTCAGCGGCGCAGCAGAACAGGTCAGCGGCGCAGCAGAGAAGCGGAACAGGGGCAGCAGCGAAGCAGAACAGGGGGCATTGGCGAAGCAGTATATCAGGGTATAGTACGGGCATTCTATTGCCAAAATCGCGTTTCGAACTTCCTCAATTTCCAAAATCACCCGAACTCCGCTCCGCTACGTATTGGAGACTTTAGCGCTGCGCTCCGCGCGAAATGGCAACTTCAACTTCCACTCTCGTCGGAAACCTCATCATCCTTAACCTCGCTCCCAACGGCACGAGCACCAATTTCGGGGAGTGGTGCTATGGAGTGGAGAAGCACCTCCTTAGCTCGGAGCTCAAGGGGATTTGCCTCAAGGACATCCTCCTCAATCGCGGCAAGGGGAAGATGCCTCTCCCTCCCGATCCTCTCGGCGAAGGCGCCACTGCCACAGCCAAGCTTGCTTTCGACGCAAAAACCACCAAGTATGAGACGGACTTCAGTCTCTGGGAGCAGGCGGATGCGGCAGTGATTAGGGTTTTCATCACCACCACCCCAGTCGAGTTAGTCAAGTCCTACCGCACCTTCCGCTCTGCGCATGACATTTGGAAGTACCTCCAGGATCGCTTTCATGACAAAACTGCCGTGGGAGTTGCAATCCTCATTCCTCGCATGTTCCAAATCCGCCTTGAGGAATGCCCGGGCATGGCAGACTACATCTCTGAAATCCGCAACATCCATGAGGAGCTCAAGGTCATTGGGATCACCTTCCCCGAACAGGCACCTGCTGCTGGGCTTCTTGTCGGACTCACCCCGGCCTACAACGTCACCAGTTCCATGCTCAAGCAGCTCCCCACCAAGGAACTCACCTTCGAGAAAGTCGCTTCGGCCCTTCTCTCTGCCGAAAAGGACCTTGCAGCCCAGGCATCCGTCAATGCTGTGCGCTACTCCCCTGGCATCCCATTTCGTTCCCAGCAGGGCCAGAGGCGCAACTCCTTTCCCCCATGCCAGTACCTCATTAGGAATGGTCCACGCGCGGGGCAGAAATGCAACGGCACCAACCACCCTGAGGCAACTTGCTTCAAGAAGCGAGATGACGAGTGGTATGACGTCCACGGTGTCTCCAAGGACAAGCGCCCTCCCAACTGGGCACCACCCCGTCGCGTGAACCAGGTCGAGGCAGTGGAGGAACCTGCTCATGCATTTGCTAGTGCCCCATCTGATGTTCGCCTTAACCTGTTGTTCTCTGGTGCTGGTCTTCTTAATGAGAAGGGGTCGCAGTACATTGGTGTTTCAACCACACAGGGAATTGAGTTCATACTAGACAGTGGTGCCACCCACACAGTGCTTAAAGACCAAACTGCCTTCGTTCCCTACCAGGCTCCCACCTCACTCCTTGGAGCCGATTCTAGTTTCTCCATCCAATGCCATGGTTCCTCCACAGTTTCCTGTCCAGCTTTCCCATCCGGCACAGTCACTGGTATCTGTGCCCCTACCCTCCGCTACAACCTTCTTGCACAGCGGGAAATCCAACACGCAGGCGTGATCACCATCTTTCCCAATGATGTTGACTACTGTGACATGTTTGACGCCAAAACCGGACTCCATCTTGCCCGCTTCACACTCAACTCCAACAACCTGTACACACTAGTTGTACCTCCCGTTCAAACATGCTCCCTCACCAACCTTCCGCTTCCATCCTCAGACTCCCCCTCATGTCACTGCCGCCTCCTCAATGACAAGACTATGCTATTTCATAACCGCCTCGGCCACATCAACTTCCGCGCACTTTCAGACCTTGCCACCAAACAACTCCTTCATGGGCTGCCCGCCTCACTTCCACAACCCCCCTCTCTTTCTGGACCACCTTGCCTTGACTGTGCACAGAGCAAGCTTCGGGAACAGCCCCATCCTCCCACTGAGTCCACCTCTACCGCACCTCTTGATCGCGTACACATGGACCTTTGGGGTCCAGCTCCTGTTCGTTCCCGTGGCGGACACTTCTACTTCCTTGTCATCGTTGATGACTATTCCCGCTATGTGTCCGTTCACCTTCTCACCGCCAAGTCTGAAGCCCCAGCCATTATCATGGAATGGGCAAGGCAGGCTCATTCACACTTCAAAACCAAAATCAAGATTCTTCACTCTGACGGTGGCGGTGAATTCCGCAACAACACTCTCAAAGCTTTCTGCTCTACTGAGGGTATTCGTCAGACCTTCACCCTCCCAGACAGCCCTCAACAGAACGGTGTTGCTGAGAGCCGAAACCACATCCTGGTGCAGATTGCTCGCTGCCTCCTCACTCATGCTTCCGCCCCTCCCTCTCTTTGGGGATACGCCATGCTCCATGCTGCCGCCCTCCACAATCTCCATCCTCATCCTCACCACACCCACACCACCCCCGCAGAGCTGTGGACGGGTCAAAAGCCGTCCGTCCGCCCTCTTCGTGTATGGGGGTGCACTTCCTATGTTCTCCTCAACTCCCAAGCCCGTCGTGCAGCTGGCGACAAGCTTGCTCCGAAAACAATCACGTGCGTGTACCTCGGGCACAACTCGGACTCGCCAGACTACCTCTTCCTCCATCCTACCACCAACAAACTTTATCGCAGCCGAGATGTTTTCTTCGATGAATCCCACCCGTTCTACCCCTCCTCCACAGTTTCTCCTTCTCCTCCGCCTCCTTCTCTTACTTGGGCTGACTTTGACAGCCTTCCTCCTACCACCACTCCATCTCCTCCTCTTCCCGCTCCCTCCACAGTTTCCAACCCCCCGTCACCCGCTTCCCCTTCCAGCACCACGCAGTCTCCCCCGCTCCTTCCCGCCTCCGAGCCCATTCCTCTCAAAACCTACCAACGCCGTCCTCCTGCTGCTGCTCCTCCTCCTGATCCAGCTCCTCCTCCTGATCCAGCTCCTGCTCTTGATCCAGCTGCTGTTCCTGATGCTGCCACTACACCTGCTGCTTCTCCTCCTCCAGCTCCGCCTCCCTCCCCCATCGCTGGTCGCACCCGCTCGCGCAAAGCTCCCAAGCCTCTTTCCCTTTCCATTCGTGTCTCTCTCAATCCTCCTTCTGTCGGGGGTGATTATTCGCTCATGCCCTCCCTTCTTGAGGACAGACATGAGGAGTTGATTGAGATTGACTCAGCCATACACGCACTCTGCTCCCTCTTTCCAGATATCGCAGAATCTCCCACCCTCAACTTCTCGGACAACCCCTCCATCCCCACACCTCTCACCTATGCTGAAGCAGTTTCTGGTCCTCACGCCGCTCAGTGGCTAGGGGCCATTGTCGCAGAGTGTGAGGCCTTCATTCACACAGGAACTTTCACAGATGTCTCTCCTCCCCCCGGCGTCAACATTGTGAAGGGAAAATGGGTTTTCCGGGTGAAACAACTTCCAGGCGAATTTCCCGTCTTCAAAGCCCGGTACTGTGCCAAGGGATTTACCCAAAAGCATGGACTGGACTTCTTTGAGACATTCTCTCCCACCGCCAAACCTCCCACACTGCGCACCCTTCTCGATGTTGCCGCTCGAGATGACATGGAGGTTGACTGCATGGATGTGTCCTCTGCGTTTTTGCAAGGGATCCTTCGAGAGGAAATCTACATGGAGCGGCCCGAAGGATTTCCAGCTCCTTTTCCACCAGGCACTGTATGGAAGCTGAATCGACCAGTCTATGGCCTCAAGCAAGCACCCCGGGAATGGCACAACAAGCTCAAGAGCACCTTAGGGTCCCTCGACTTTCACCCATCCACCTCTGACCCCAGCCTCTTCATCCGAGCAACACCATCCCGCTTCTTCATCTTGGTTTATGTCGATGACATGATCCTTGTCACCAAGGATCAGACTGAGCTGGCAGCAGTCAAAACCGCACTTGGTGAGAAGCTGGTTATGAAGGATCTTGGGAAACTGACGAACTATCTGGGCATGGAAATCACACGTGATCGCACGGCCCGCACCATCACCCTCTCGCAGAAGTTCTACATCAACAACGTTCTGACCAGGTTTAAGATGCAGGAAGCAGCTTCAATGCCCACCCCACTCTCTCTGCAGCACCAACTCACTGCACCCTCTGTTCCCTCACCTGAGCCCTGTGATGAGGCTTACCCCGAGCTCGTCGGTTCCCTCATGTACGCAATGATGTGCACTCGACCAGATTTGGCCTATCCAGTCAGTGTCCTGTCTCGCTACGTTGCACCTGGTCGCTTCACGAGCCACCACTGGTCTGCCGCCAAGCGGGTCCTCCGCTATCTCAAAGGCACACAGGACTATGTGCTCACTCTTGGCGGCTCTTCCCCTGTTCGCCTTGAGGGGTACAGTGACTCGTCCTATGCTGATGACCAGAGTGATCGGCGCTCTTCCCAAGGATATTGCTTTACCCTTGGCAGTGGGGTTGTCAGTTGGCGCTCCACTCGGTCGTCTTCCGTCTCACTGTCGACCTGTGAGGCAGAATTGTATGCCGGGACCATGGCTGCCCAAGAGGCCCGTTGGCTCTCCTTCTTGCTGGCAGAACTTGGGTATCCTCAACCAGCCCCAACGCTTTGGTGTGACAACGAGAGCACCATTCATCTCACAAAGGACCCCGTCTTCCACGGCCGCACCAAGCACATTGAGGTCCGTCACTACTTTCTTCGTGAGCTGGTGCAGCGCGAGCAGCTGAAGGCTGAACACATTGCCTCCGACTGCAACCTTGCTGACTTGTTTACCAAGTCTCTTGTTCGCTAAGACCACTACCGCCTCCTCTCGTCCATGGGTGTTGGGCCGCCATGTGGCTGAAGTGTTGTCAGCCTAGGGGGAGTGTTAGAAATAGTCAGTCAACACTTTGTACTATATTCTATATCGATTAGGTTACTTTGTAGGTTGGGTGTAGATTTGTAATCCCAACCCTATCTGGTTGGGATTCTCTCGTAATCCTGCAAATCTGCCAACTCACCAATTGGAGATTTGCTAGGATTCCCATCCCATCCTTTCCCTAGCTTTGCTCAACCCAACCCTGTTTGTACTTAAGGCCTAGTGCCTTCCTTATCAAGCAATCAGTTCAGTTCCAATTCTATCATAACACCCCCCTTTACTTCTTCCCCCTCACTTCACGTTCCCCCTCACTTCACTCCTCCCAGGTGCACTGGTGGTGTGGCGAGCCCAGTCCATCTGCTTCCTCCTTTGTTCCCCCTCCGCCTACCTCTGACAGCGTCCCCCATTACACACCCAGCGTCCACCACACCTTTTACAGCCTCTCACTCTCCCCACCTGTACCCCCGTTACTCAGGTGCACTGGTGGCGAGCCCAGTCCATCTGCTTCCTCCTTTGTTCCCCCTCCGCCTCCCTCTGCCAGCGTCCCCCATTACAGAGCTGACATTTGAGTCGACTCAAAAGTCAGCGGGGCGAGCCCAGTCCATCTGCTTCCTCCTTTGTTCCCCCTCCTCCTCCCTCTGCCAGCGTCCACCATTACACACCCAGCGTCCACCACACCTCTCACTCTCCCCATCTGTACCCCCGTTACTCAGGTGCACTGGTGGCGAGCCCAGTCCATCTGCTTCCTCCTTTGTTCCCCCTCTACCTACCTCTGCCAGCGTCCCCCATTACACACCCAGCGTCCACCACACCTCCCACGGCCGCTCAGCCCCCTTCATCTCTTCTTTCCCAACCATTCTCCCCACCTATTCCCACCTCACCTATCCACGTGCACTGGTGGCAAGGCGGGCCCAGTCCATCCGCTTCCTCCTCCGCTCGCCCTCTGCCTACCTCTGCCACATCACCAACCGCGTCCGCCACACCTCTCACAGCCCCTCTATTCTCCCTTCACCCCTCCCCACCCAACTATTCTCCCCACCTATACCTCTCCTCTCAGGTGCACTGGTGGCGGGCGCAATCCATCCGCTTCCTCCTCCGCTCCCCCTCCGCCTACCTCTGCCACATCACCAATCGCGTCCGCCACACATCCTTCGGCCTCTCAGTTGCCACCACCTCGCAGCCTCTCACCTCCTTTTCCCCCTCACTTTCTCTTCCCCCTCACCTCCTCCTACCAGGTGCACTGGTGGCGGGCTCAATCCATCCGCTTCCTCCTCCGCTTCCCCTCTTCTTACCTCTGCCACATCACCACCCACACCTCCTACGGTCTCTCAGTTGCCGCCCACCTCTCCGCCTCTGCCGCCCAGCAGGCCGCCCTGGCCCACACCCACCCAGAGATTTTATCCTCGCTAAGAGCTGCTGCACCGCCGTGTATAGGCGGCGATGGAAGCAGTAACAGCGCTGGAGCAGTGGCTAATGATATAAGCACTAACGGTAGAAGTAGTGAGGGGGTTTCTGACGTAAGCAGTAGTGGCAGTGACTCTGGTAACCCAAGCAGCAGCAGTGGTAACCCTAGCACTAACCCCAGCAGTAACCCCAGCAGTAGCTCTACTGGTAGTAACCCCACTGATAACCCTAAATTTACAGGGGCATTCCCGCCTGTAGACAGTGTTGTCAATGGTTGCACTCTCGAGTCAAGGGCCTGGGCAGAGAGGCAACCCACCAGCTGCAGCTGTAGCAGCACAGACAGCACCGGTGCGACAAATACAACGGATATGACTGACAGAAGATTCCTCAGCTCCAGACCTCTAGCTCTGGGAGCCGAACCTTATGTGCCGCGGCCGATAGTGAGTGTGCATGTGCGGCAGGGCGATAAGGGAAGTGAGATGCATCTCAACTCGTTTGCGGCTTTCATGTTCTTTGCGTATCGGCTGAGACGTGTGGAGCCGGAGTTGAGGCACGTCTGGCTGAGCACCGAGATGCAGGTGAGAGTAGGTGAGGTGGGCGGGTGAGCTACCACACACACACACACACACACACACACACACACATACACACACACACATACACACACACACATACACACACACACATACATACACACATTCACACACACACACACACACACACACACACACACACACACACAAGGGTAGTGGGATGCACCTCCACTCCTTCCCTGCCTTCATGTTGATTCAATTGTCCCCTGTGACCCTCTCCTCTCCCGTTTCAATGCCTCCATCCATCTATCCAGTCTGTCATCGACCAGGCAACTCAATTCAAAGATTGGTCTTTCCGTATTTCCCACTCCCTCCCTACCTTCATGTTATTTCATTTGTCCCCTGTGACCCTCTCCTCTCCTTTTTCAATGCCTCTCTCCATCCCTCTCCCTGTCTGAATCCAGTCTGTCATCGACCAGGCAACTCAATTCAAGGATTGGTCTTTTCATATTTCCCACGACCAGCACCAAAGCAGCAACAAGCACATGGTGGGTTACCAGCAAGCCAAGGGGCATAAGCTGGTTGGTTGGCAGTAGCTGGTTGGCATTAGCTTGTTGGCATCAGGTGACTTTTGAGTCGACTCAGAAGTCACCGCATTACAATGGCAAGCAGCAACACACACGTGGTGGATTATGAGAGAGAGACGTGGGGCACCAGCTGGTTGGCATCAGCTGGCACTAGGTGACCTCTGAGTTGACTCAGAAGTCACCGCGTTACAATGGCAAGCAGCAACACGCACGTGGGGGACCAACTACGTGGCATCAGCTTCATCCCTCTTGTTCCCGTTCCTCCCCATTCCCACCCCTGTTTACCTTTTGATTCTCTCTCTGCAACTCTACAGTCTGTCGTCGACCAAACAGCTCAATTCAAGGACTGGACGTTCCTGCATTTGCACAGCCCACGGCAAAGCAGCAACAAGCACATGGTGGATGATGAGAGAGACGAGGGGCATCAGCTAGTTGGCATCAGCTGGTTGGCAAGGCTAAGCAGCAGTGTGATCTGCTGATGCCAAAGCAGCAAGAAGCACATGGTGGATAATGAGAGAGACGTGGGGCATCAGCTAGTCGGCATCAGCTTCATCCCTCTTGTTCCTGTTTCTCCCCATTCCCATCCCTCTTTCCCTTTTGATTGTCTCCCTGCAACCCTTCAGTCCGTTGTCGACCAAACAGCCCAATTCAAGGACTGGTCATTTCATTACTCGCACAACCCGCGCCAAAACAGCACCAAATTTATGGTGGATTATGAGAGAGACGTGGGGCACCAACTAGTTGGCATTAGCTTTGCCAATCTGATAATTTCCTCTCAGTGTGATTATTTCGTGGGCGCTCTGGGCTCGAATTGGAATAGGCTGATGAACGAGCTGCGGATAACCAACGGCCGGCTTTTTAGAGGATATGTAACGCTAAATGATGATGAATTCTAATCAGGACCTATTTTATCATTTCCCTGCAGTGATTATTGTTGGAAACAATTGATTTAAGCGCCTCTATCGTGTCGAAACACCAAGTCAGAAGCGAAGCGAAACATATCGAAGTGTCAGCGAGTCAACCCTCGGAGGTTGAACAACTGCTGGAGGTTACGCGAAAGTCAAAGGTCAGCGACCTTTGACCTGACAAATACAGCGCGACAGCAAGGACAAACAACTGACTCGCTACTGAGCAGTTGCCCGAGTCGACACTGCATCGAACCGCAACAGCAACAGTAAAACGGTTATTAGCCGTACCGTATCTCTTCATATTCCTTGTATCCTTATAAAAGCTTGTATCTCTTTTGTTTTAATCAATCTACTTTGCCCTCACATACTAGCGCAAGGTGGTTCACAAGCCTTTTACTTAAACGCTTCCGCTATTACATTGTCCTACCCTGAATTTAGTCCTGCAAAGATCCTAAGGGCTTTTTTCAGCCCAACATGGTATGAGAGCAGTCAGGACAAATTCAACTACAACCAAAACACCCACAACATCACAAAACATGGCAACGCAGAAGGAGAGAAGCTCCTCTAACGGCTCTCCCGGTACTACTCCTACTCCACCTCCTGCCTCTGGCCTACAGACAGAGGAGGGTACGGCAACAAGACCAAGAGCAACGTCTTCAGAAACTCCCGCAAATCAAGCAGCGGCCTTCGACCCAGACATGATGGAGAAGTTCTTCTCCTTCATGTCTTTCTACGAACAACACCAGCAAGGGGCACCTGCACAGTCAAACAACAGCAACAACAACAACGCAACACCGATGAGCCTCGACGGTTCATCTTACGCACGAGGAAATTAGCAACAACCTACCTTTGCTCCGTACGAGCCCCAGCGTGGCTCCGTCAGCTTTATGCCACACCCGCAGCCTGCATCTGGACAAGAGAAGACACTGGACGCACTTCAAGTTCAGTCGCAGTTCGCGCACGTTTTAAAACTGCAAACGACAAGGCCTTTCGACGGAAAGGACTTCTTTACCTGGTCATTCGAGTTCGAGCTAATGATGGAAGGCGCGCAGATCCTTGGCTTCTTCGACGGGTCCCTGCCATATCCAACACACGGCACACAGTACGACAAGCAGCAGTACACATATCAGTCAATGATGGCGTACACAATACTACTGAGAAACATCACTCCGAATCAGCAGCAGAATATACGGTCTTACCGGGGATATGGCAACTCTGCAGAACTCGCGTACAACCACCTGAAGAACCTGTATCAAGCAACAGACAGCGTAAATCAAAGTCGGTTAATGGCGCAACTGACGACAGTCGAAATGAAACCAGGCGAAAAGGGGATGGCGTATATCAGCCGTTGTCGCGAATTGCGCGACAAACTCCTTCGATGCGGAGGGTCGATTTCAGAAGACGCCTTCGTCACAGTCATCATCGGCGGCCTCAGTCCTCAGTGGCGCTCCACGCGCGCCATACTCCGAGCCCACGGAAAAATATCAGAAGCAGCACTCTGCGCCGAGATCCACGCTGAGCAGCAAGATATGGACCTGCAAGAAGAACGACACAACAAGAAGGCATCAGTACCCGAATTCGCATTCCACACTCAACGGCGCTACAACAACAACAACTATCGGCATCAACCGAAACCAGTACCTCCGTTCTGTCACCTTTGCAAGACGTCAGGCCACCCCCGTACACACTGCCCAAACCGGCTGCTTCGCCCTTCAAGCAGTCAAGTCGCCTCAACGCAAGCGAATTCGACCTCTCAAGTACAAGCCTCAACAACATTGACGGGACAACCTGCGCAAGGAACAAGAAACATCTTCAGTTGCATGACACGGCTGACCGACTCCTGCATCACAGAGTCACCACCACATTACTCACCAAAAGAGCAACTCGACAACAGCATGTCTCGCCGCGAGTCACTTCAACCAAATCCGACATATGCAGCCATCGCTCAAAGCGAGCCGTCCGGGAAAGATACGTGGTTCTTAGACAGCTGCTGCGGACAGCATATGTGCTCTTCAGGACGCTTTGTTCAACGTGAACACCAACTTCAACGCGAGGTCGTCATCACCGTCGCCAACAATCAGAATATGCGCACACGACGACAAGGCGCAGTGCAACTTCAGTCATGAGAAACAAACGTCATACTGCCTACTAAGCGTCAGCCAATTGATGGCGAAGGGAATACACCTCGAAGCAAATATTACCACTCAGGAGTTCAAGTTATTTAACGGGAAAGGCGGTCTCTACATCGGGAAGGCGGTCCTGAATAATAACGTCTTCGTCCTAGACTTCGTCCCAGATCTCGGCACCGCTGACAGCGACGGGATCGTCACCTTCACCTCCTGGACACACCCACCAGATCTTGACCCCGACTTCAGTCCAAAAGGCTTCTGGTACTCGCACACCATCCCTGAGGCAGAACGAACAAGAGCATTAGCAACAATTCAACACTCGGCAGCAGCAGAGACAACATCGGCAGCAGCAAAGACAACATCGGCAGCAGCAGAGACAACATCGGCAGCAGCAGAGACAACATCGGCAGCAGCAGAGACAACATCGGCAGCAGCAAAGACAACATCGGCAGCAGCAGAAACAACGGCAGCAGCAGCAGCAACATCGACACCAATCGCTGGTCCTTCAACTGCATCGGCTCAAATCGACGACACTCCACCGACTCCTGCGCAACAACTTAACCCAAAATCACGAGAAGTACATCGAAGTGCAAACTTCACCGCAAGCTTCTACTCCAACTCCGACTTGTATCGTCGCTCACCCGGACATCGCGCTAGCGAAGACATCTGGCACGCACGAATGGGACATCCAAGTAACACGGTGTTAAACAACACAATCAGAGCAGGAGTACTCGACAAAGATTCACTGCTCCTAACCGATGGAAGCGAACTTCGACGAGCTCGTGGAACGTACTTTACTTGCCCCGAAGCTGACTTACCACATCGGCCATTCACTTCTCACCACAACCCCAGCGCACCAGCTTACGCACCACTTGAGAAAGTGTACAGCGACATCCTGTACAATCGCGAACTTGGACAAGGAGCATACAGCTACACCATCACGTTCATCGATGCCGCTACGCGTTACGTTTGGCACCTTAACCTTCCGAGCAAGGACATGGCTTTCGAAGCCTTCATCGCTTGGCTCCCAGTAGCAGAACGAGAATCAGGCGTGAAACTAAAAAGCTTCCAGTCAGACGGAGGAGGAGAATACACCTCACAAAGGTTCAAGCAGTTCTTGGTAGAAAGAGGAATCAAGAGGCTCATCTCGCTTCCCTACGCCCATCAACAGCAAGGCGTGGCGGAACGGATGAATCGAACTCTCCAGAACACCATGCGCAAATTACTGCGTGGCATGCGACTGCCCAATCACCAGTGGCCTGAAGCGATGGACCACGCTGTCATGCTGCACAACTTGCTTTCGTCATCGTCACTACCGAACAACGCATCACCGCACCTGCTGTGGACAGGAAAACAGGGCAGCACAAAATTGTTAAGAGTTTTCGGTTGCATGGTACAGTACCGACCCCCATCTGCACGAGCCGGCCGATCTAGGCTGATAAACGAGCTACGGGTAACCAACGGCTGGCTTTTTAGAGGATATGTAACGCTAAATGATGATGAATTCTAATCAGGACCTATTTTATCATTTCCCTGCAGTGATTATTGTTGGAAACAATTGATTTAAGCGCCTCTATCGTGTCGAAACACCAAGTCAGAAGCGAAGCGAAACATATCGAAGCGTCAGCGAGTCAACCCTCGGAGGTTGAACAACTGCTGGAGGTTACGCGAAAGTCAAAGGTCAGCGACCTTTGACCTGACAAATACAGCGCGACAGCAAGGACAAACAACTGACTCGCTACTGAGCAGTTGCCCGAGTCGACACTGTATCGAACCGCAACAGCAACAGTAAAACGGTTATTAACCGTATCTCTTCATATTCCTTGTATCCTTATAAAAGCTTGTATCTCTTTTGTTTTAATCAATCTACTTTGCCCTCACATACTAGCGCAAGGTGGTTCACAAGCCTTTTACTTAAAACGCTTCCGCTATTACATTGTCCTACCCTGAATTTAGTCCTCCAAAGATCCTAAGGGCTTTTTTCAGCCCAACAATTATTTCGTGGGTGCGCTGGGCTCGAATTGGAATAGGCTGATAAACGAGCTGCGGGTAACCAACGGCCGGCCTTTTAGGGGATATGTGACACTAAACGACGACGAGTTCTGATCTGATGCAGTGGATTTAACGGGAAAACAATCATGCACAAAAAGGTGACACTAAATAACGCTATCAAATATCCTTTGCTGACACACTCCAGTCAGAACCTCCTCCAGGTTGAAACATCTGGAGTGGATGAAACATCTGTAGTGCCTGAAACATGTGAAGCGGCTGAAACACCTGAAGCACCTAAAACATCTGAAAGCGCCTGAAATGCCTGAAGCACTGTGGGGTGAGGAACAACGGGAATGACACATGCGGCCAGCACACAAGCGGAGAATGCTGAATCGGCAATCACAATACAACGTCGAAGAAAAGACTGACTGTTGAAGCGGTGAGAGTTAAATTACAGCGCATGAGGGCCGTAGAAGCCGTGCTCGGGGGCAGGTGGTATGGTCCCTGCCTGCACGCCTGGAGAGAGGGTGAGTTGGCTATTGACTAAAAAATCGACTTATCATACACAGGTCATATGGTCCCCGCCTGCAGGAATGTCCGGTGAGGAGGAGGAGAGAGTGGGGAAGAGAGGCAGTCTGCCTGCGTGATTGAGAGTCAATGAAGACGATGCGGGGTTTAGTTGAGGGATAGAAACCATTTCAATAAGCCCCTCTCTGCCCGTACGAACCCCACTTGTCAATTTACATCCCCCTCGTGTACGTGAAATCACCCCACCTGTTGAAACTCCCTTGCCGTCGGATCCAAACTCATTCTCTCTACCTGCTGGCATGAGCGGCCAATGAAGGAGATGTGAGGGAACTTTCAGGG